ACGGCAACAAGGACGTGGAAAAACAAGAGATCTAATTGGCAGAACAATAGCTCAGCACGTGCATTTTGAAACTTTGTACATTTCTTAGCTGTCCTATGCAAAACAACAACATGAAATCGCCAAAATTTGCGTCATCTGTGAACCGAAACCGCGACGGCAAATTATTTTAATTTCCATTTGAAACTCAACAGCTACTTTATACATCATGCTGAAGTTGAGCTGTGGCGCTGCACGAGACAGTAAGCTCCTGCTGCCATTTTTGAAATTCTAACTAAGAGTGGAAATTCATTTTTAATCGAAGTCTTCCTTGGCGTCGCAGTCGTGGTTTCTTAAAGTCCCTAATAGTGTCTACTGGAAAGATTCGGCCATTGCAACTGCTCTATTGCTTCAGATGAGCGAGAGCACGTGGAAATGTGTAGCAGCTAGAGAGGAAAATTAATAATCAGATCTTCAGAGATAAAAGGTTGAAATGCGATAACTAAAAGCTTATTGATAAGAGGGTTTTTTTTTTTTTTTTAACAACATTGACTTTATTTTTGAAATTGCAGAAATAAAGGCCTTTATAGCCCGCAGTTAGCAAAGCTATTCTAGGCGGGCTACCTAAACTGACAGTTTTACTTCAAGTGTTATCACATCTCTAAGGCTGTGCTCTAAGAAAAATTGAAAGGAGCCCAGTGCTCTGAAACTGTGAAGTGCAGGGTGCCCAGCATATGCTTTTTATGAAAAAACTAAGATTCCTGAGTTTCCCAAAAGCAAATTAAAATAAGGCACTAGGGGTCACTTGGCAATGCTAGACCACAGCCCTGATCTTTAATGCCTAATTTCCAAGAGACATTCAACAAAATTTAGAAAAGGGCATCCAATCTATAATGAAGTTAACCACATTTTGTAACAACTCACTGGGGGTCGTTTGAAGTCTAAAGCATGGATTAACTTGTGAACAGCTGCTGTTGCACCACTACCAACAAACACCACTGAATCATTCTCACTGGCATTCACAGCATTCCTGATGATATCCCTAACAAAGAAATAATGACAATCTGAAAATTCAATAATTTAAATTTCAAATAGTTTACATATTTAAAATTTAAAATATTCAGTTAAAATACAACAGAAAAATGGAAAGTATTTGATGTAGAATCAGTTAACAAATTGGTTAATGGAGTGAGGTGTTCTGTGTGGAATTGCAAGTTGAAAACCAAGCTAGTTGATATTGTTTCACTTCTCTTGCTTTGCACTCACGATAAAACAAACATTCTTGCTCTTTTCTTTTTTCTATTCAATTATGAGATTAAAAAAAAAATTACATCACACAAATTCATGCGATATCCATTTTTGCATGCAATTTAAAATGGAATTCTCTTGACAGGTAATGAATTTTCCCATAAAAGACTAGGGAAGCCTTTAGAACAAAAAGGTTACTAAGTTTCAATTGGTATTAGTCTTATATGAATGGCACTGAAAGATTTCTTGACCGTATAATTATTGTTCTTGGCTAATGATGCACAATTGAGAAGCAATTTCAAAAACTCGTGCTTCGTCTTTCATCTGGGTTTTCAAACACTCGAAAACAATAAAAGAAAGAGGCCTACGGCCTCGTACTCCTTTTTGAAATATCACAAATATATCAACTGGAGAAATCTCTATCTGCTGGTTAGCGCAATAAATTTTGTTCAGACTCCTCCACTAGATAGCAATTAATCTGTTGAACAGTGTCACCCACCCTTTGAACAACTTTGAAAAACCAACACCTTCATAAAGGGTGACCCACGGGTTTCAAAATGTCTTGAAGTAGGAGGCCGACTCTGGAAAAGTAGGTGGCTGTGATAATCAAGATTGTTTGTCACAAGCAGACTGTTATGACCAGAGTAGCCGGCAACATACAATCAAGTAGCCGTTGGAACTCTAGCAGTCGCCAGCTTGTTTTGAAACCACTAGTGACCATTTTATATGGTGCCCCTTAAAACATGTACAACTGTATATTTCAACAATAAGAGAACAATGAAAAAAGTTTTACAGCCTGCAGTGAAGGAGTCTCAGTTTGATTGAGATCAAGAGTAGATAGATCAGGGGTAGGGACATATGGGAAGATACAATATCATTTTTCCCTTCTTTTATAATGCCTGTCCACCACCTCCCCTGTTAAAAATTTTTTTCACCAGTACTTGCAAACTATAAATTTACAATTAAAGGTCAGCAAAGAAACATACCTCTTGCATATTTTGTGCCAAGTCCTTGTTAAACAACCTCCAAACTGATTTAAATGCCACAGTTCCAGCAGCAAACCCAACACCAGCACTGGCCACGCCACACAAACCACAGAAAATTATTGGGTCCATTCCTCTGAAAATAGAAAGGAAACAACATGACTCTCCAATATACACTTTAATTTCATATGTAATGTGGTCTTGTTGTGTTATTGAGCAAGTAAAGAGGTCTGCTCTCATGTATGCTATAGAAGTTGCTTAATCATGGAATGGGTCCAAGTTTGAGGGTCCATGGTTTGAGGGACCATGGAATGGGTCCAAGTTTCATTTGCTACCATTCCCACTTTCTATTCACTGATCTGCCCAAATTTCTGCATGTAACGTAAGTTTTGTCATTCCTCTGTAAACACATGAAGAGACAATAAACGACACACAGGAATGAGAAGTGATTGGATGAAAAAATAGGGGAGTGAAAATGAGATTATAAGCACTTTACTTCAGACTTCCCAACCTTTCTCAGATGTCAAGTTAGTTTATCACATAGAGCTGACAGTTTTAGACACTGAACTTATAGCCCCATACAAACCACTGTGGGCAGTTGAATTTACCAAACAGAAATGCTGGGAGAGAAAAAATAACTTTAAGAGTGGAAAGTGAAAAATAC